AGAGAGAGAGAGAGAGAGAGAGAGAGAGAGATGAATCATACCGAAGGGCCAGAACTTGACTGATATCTCGACCAATGAGAAAGGGATGGTGAAGAAGCACAGGAGGAGATCACTGATGGCCAGATTGATAATAAACAGGTTCCTTGAGGTACGCATTTTGGGCTTCCGGGCGACGACAACGCACACCAAACCATTGCCAAGAGTGCCGATGAATATGAGTATAGCGTATGCTATGACCAGTGAAACCAGTGATGTCTTGTCCAGAGCCCTATTGTTTATGTATTCCTCTAATTTGTCCATAAGTTGTTGTAGTTTTACCGGATCTGCTTATGGATTACAAATTAAATCAATGTTGATCTTTAATTGTGATGTTTACAAATGTAATTCTTATAATTGTTATTATTATATTTAAGAGTATCATGGTAAATAGTATAAATGGTTTAAAAGCATGGTAAATTAAAAATACATTTAAATGAATAATACTATTCTATGGGATGTGTGCTAATTGGATGTCAATTACTGGAAACATAAGTAGTTTATAGAGAGTTTCGATCAATTTTGTTAAATGTATTGGCAGAGAAAAGTGGAGACAATATTTACATAACGCTATGTTTTGAGAGAAACACTTAAAGAATTTTGTTTAATTGATGCAATTGTTGAGCAAAATACTGGAGTAATCATGTTTTGTTTGTCTCTTGTTTTTGCCTAAAAACACGCTTCACTTGTTATTATAATGTCTATCACTTATTACAATTGTATTGTATATAATGGATGAGATGTTTGCACAAACATTATATAAATACTAACCAATATAAGAATTTGGTGAGAATAATACCATTTAAGCGATACTATTTACTCTGGGAATCACACTTAGAGAATCACTAAATAATCATTAATGCTAAGGAATATTCCTATACTGACAATCATGGCTATCGAAAATATATCATACTATATTTCATTTAGTATTTAATTATGCTAAATTAAGACAAGTTATAAATAGCAAAATATTCCTAAACATAAAATGTATACATTTATATTATGCTGAAATGCAGGTTTTAATGAATTGACACGGTTGCATAACTGGTGGGAGTAATTATAAATAAACATGTTTATAAATGTAGTGATGATTACCTTCGTCTCCCGTATAAGTAGTGTTGATGACAATTGCACTCATTGTCGGCGCTGTTTCGCACATTAATGTATAATTATGTGATTTGTTTAATTATATCTGTTATTAATAACAGAATCAAACGTATGGATAAATTTAGAAACCATTTCTTTTATTGAAATATTATTCACAAATAAAGACCATGTTTTAGTTCAATGACAATACTTGCAGCTGAAAATTAAAAGACATTTAATTAATTACAATAATAAATGTTTAATTAATGTTATATTTATAGAAAATCGTTATGACTTGACTATCATTTAAATGAAACAAACAGTAAGAAAATCCTGGAAAACAACCATAATATAATAAAAACGATTCCAACGGAAAGTTTAGAAATAAATTAAAATTGCCATAAAATGCTAAAAATATAAATGTTTTTAAATAAATCATAAAAACATTACAGAATCTATTATTCTAAGAATATTCTTACAACTTATAAACATGTATATCCGGTTGTAGACGTATAATACAATTCCAGTCAATGGATTTAAGTAATTCATTCACACAATTTATTGACAGAAATCACGAGCTAAATCTTGTTTACCCTGCTTAAGCTTGACAACATTATTCAATATAATTTGTAATTTAATCATATGTACTAGATAATGTCAAATGTCAAGTCAAATAACTGAAACATTAATAAATTGAACATTTCATCACAAATTATTGTGACATATTTTTATCACTTGACATCAAGTGTAGTACAAATTATAATGAGTATTACAATAATGTCATTCAGTATATATAAAGCATTACAACATTACAACAATATTATATAAGTATAAGTTTTCATATGATAAGTGAAATGTAGACTTCTGTTGAATTGATAACATTATTAATATATCATAATATATGACATTATTATTGAATATAAAAATAATTACTGTCTATTATATTTTATGCAACTTTTCTTATATATTTTATGCTATAATTAAATTGTTCATGATAACATTTATAATTTTATAGCATTTACACATATTAATTGTAATTAAACAGTACTAATTGTCTTAGTTTATAATATTATATTAATGTTATTCAAATTTAT